TCTTGTACACTAAAACCTGGTTTCTGCTGAGTGTGTCCCTTTTGTGCCATTGTCAAGGGAAGAGTCATAAGTGGAACTGCAGGCCTGCACTATGGTTCTGTCGCCCGTGGTCACCACCTTTGTCAGATGTTGGTACGTCACGGCAGGCGTTTCATCATCTGTTTTCATGGATCCTCAGGTCCCCTAATCCAGGAAGAACAAGTCAGCAAATTATGCTTCAGCTCCACCGACTGTGCAGGAGGTTGGATGGGGTCAAAGGGCCAAAGCCACCAGGCGAGGGAAAGGCTTTGTTTTGTTGTTTTGAAGATGCATTCATTTATTTGAAAAACAAAGTTAATTCCATCTGGGTTTCTCACCATGCGCGCAAGGGTCCAAGTAGTCAGGCTGCCTTCTGCTGCTTTCCCAGCTACACGAGCAGGGAGATGGATGGAAAGTGGAGCAGCCAAAATCGCTCTATGGAATGCTGGCACTACAATCGACATCTTTATTTACTGCACCACATGCCAATCCCAACACAGGTTTTGGATTCTAATAAAAAGCATACATGACAGAAAATAAGCCAGTTTGAATCTAAACCATCTTGGGGGAGTTGTACAAGTATACTTCAGTTTCATGAGAAACTGAATGAAAAAAATAAGTTTATTCTAGTGTAAAAACATTTTCAAATCCATACAGTTTTTTCATGATACACATTTTTAAAGGGACTTTTTCAAAAGTGTTCATTTGCAGGGAGTTCAAGATTCTTTCCACCAAAAGAAGTTTCTATTTTAATTCAACTTTTATTGTTTAAAATATATATATTTATTTATTTGAGGGCATGAGCTGGAATCCCAAGTGGAAACCAGTTCGTATCCTGATGGCCCCATTTCCCATCCAGCTCCCTGCTTGTGGCCTGGAAAAGCAGTAGAGGACCACCCAAAGCCCTGGGACACTCCACCTGCTTGGGAGACCTGGAAGAAGTTCCTGGCTCCTTGCTTCGGATTGGCTCAGCTCTGGCCATTGTGGCCGCTTGGGGAGTGAGCCAGTGAATGGAAGATCTTCCTCTCTCCTCTCTGTATATCTGCCTTTCCAATAAAAATAAATAAATCTTTTTAAAAATAATAAATAAGTAAATATGCATTTATATGAAAGGCAGAGTTACACAGAGAGGGAGAAACAGTGAGAAGAAAAATATCCCTGGATCTGCAGCTTCACTCCTGAAATGGTCAAAGCTGCAGCAGACGAGCCAGGCTGAAACAAGAACCAGGACTTCCAACCGGGTCTCCCACGTGGCTGCCGGGGCCCAAACATTTGAGCCATCTTCTACTGCTTTCCCAGGCCATTCACAGGGAGCTGGAAATGAAACAGCCAGGACGCAAACCGGTGCTCATATGGGATGCTGGCCTCATAGGTGGCACTTTACCCCACATTTTTTTCCATCAACCTTCTTCAGTACATGAAGTCCTCAGTTCCTGAAGCATACTAGAGCTTGCAGTGGCTGATGTGACTCCCAACAGCTTCCTGTGGAGCGTGGAGATGAGGGTCTCAAGAGTGAAGCAGCTTCCTGCTACTGCACGCTGGGAGGCAGCAGGTGATGGCTCAAGGACTTGGGTCCCTAATACCCATGTGGGAGACCCAGATGGGGTATCTGAGTCCTGGCTTCATCCTGGCCCAACCAACCAGCTACTACAGGCATTTGGGGAGTGAACAAGCAGATAGAAGATCTTTCTTTGTCTCTCTGCTTTTCAAATCAAATGAAAGTTTAAAAATATAAAAACAAAGCAACTGCACAGAGCCCCACAAAGAATGAGAAGTGGTGGGGCCTGAGGAAAATGGACCTGGGTTCTGAGCCCAGCCCCTTGTCTCTCCTGCAACACACTGGTCACCGCGTGTGGGCCCAGGGGCCTTCCCACATGAAGGATTGAGCTCAAGGTGGAGAATAAAGACTGGGGTCCAAGGCACCACACCAGAGAGCCTGGCTTCCCCACTTCGGCTTTTTCTCTCTTCATCCTTGAAGCAAGGACAGTAGTCACCACTGGACAGAGCAGCTGACTGGGGCTTCTTTCTTTTATGATTTATTTATTTTTATTGGAAAGTCAGATACACAGAGAGGAGGAGAGACAGAGAGGAAGATCTTCTGTCTGCTGATTCACTCCCCAAGTGGCACAATGGCAGAAGCTGAGCCAATCCAAAGCCAGGAGCCCAGAGCCTCCTCTGGGTTCCCACATGGGTACAGGGTCCCAAGGCTTTGGGCTGTCCTCAGCTGCTTCCCCAGGCCACAAGCAGGGAGCTGGATGGGAAGTAGGGCTGCCGGGATTGGCATCAGTGCCCATATGGGACCCCAGTGCGAGCAAGGTGAGAACTTTAGCCACTAGGTTACCACACTGGGTCCTTGACTAGGACTTTTTAAGCCACTTGAAACACACAGACTGAATCAACAGTGAGCGCCCACTGTCCCACTCCACCTCTTCCCTCCTTTAGTCTCCAATCACAGAGTTATGGTTGTGCAAAGTAGAGGCATGCCAGGGGCCCAGAGGGGCTGACCTGCTCTTAGACCCAGGGGAGGGAGGGTCAGCAGCTGGCCACCAGTCGTTGCTGGTAAGAAAGGGGATGAAGAAAACCTAGCCTCAGCAAAATGCTGCAGCCTGGGTGTAGGGATAGGGGTGAGTCTCTGGTTAAGGGTAAAGGTGGCCCCACCCCTGGGTCTGATGAGCTCACGTCCAGGTTGAGGTGAAGCAGGGAACGGAGCTCAGCTTGGCGGCCCCTGGCCATACCCATGCGGGGACTGTTCCTGGACACAGTCCAGACATCTCCCATGGTTGCACCCCGCTTGGCCACTCCCTAGCCCTGGGACTTTGACAAGCCACTTAACTCTGAGCCCTTCTATAAAGCTGGACCACCACACCCACCTAAACGGTTGTGAGCTTCTCCAGGGGTTGCTCAACCAATAGAGGTTTCCTCTTCCCCCGGGACACCTCCCACTCCCACCCCTGGGGATCTTTTCTAGGCTTAGGGATGCTCCCAGCCTGTGCTGTGTGTACAGAAGCAAACAGCTAGGGCGAGTAGGGTAGGGAAGGGAGGAGAGGCCCCAGCTAACCTCTGCCTTCACCCACCCCAGTGCAGAGTGGACGATTGCTTTGCCCTGGACATCTTCAAATGCCGACGTCCCCTTCCTGGAGGCTGCTTTCTGGTTAATGATTTCCCAGCCCTAGGAGCCACTCTGCTCCCTGGCCCAGGCCGGACCCCTGATGTCTGAGGCCGACTGTCTAGCCTTCATTCCAACTCCCCTCTCCGCACCGAGGTCAGGCTTCTCTGGACTTCTCCTTGGGAGGTAAAGGGGGCGGGGTTGGCCCTGGTAACCCAAAGACTCAGAAGACCACGGCCTGGGCTGCCCCACCCAGGCATTGGGAACCTTCCATGGAGCCCAGAGCTGTGCCAGGTGCTCTTGTAGTCGTGCACTGCACCTACCAGGGCCAGCTCCCAATCCACTGGGTTCCAAGCTCCAAGGAGCCAGGTGCCACCGAACTGACACCTCCCTCCCGGAGCTCACCTCCACAGCAAATTTATTCCCGCAGGCCACAAGAGCCAGGGAAGCCAGGCACCACTTCCTCTGATTGCACCTGTCTGACCTGGGATCCTCTTCTAGGTCCTGGTTCCACAGCCCAGTTGGAACCTGACAGCCTGCTCCATCCAGACCTATGCAGTTATGGCTGCAAAATCATGCTTGGGGCACTAAGGTCAAAGACAAGGCAGGGAGTGTCTGGCTTTGTTGTGTGTGTGTGTGTGTGATTTATTTATTTTTATTGGAAAGTTAGATGTACAGAGAGGAAAATCTTCACTTCCCAAGCAGCCACAATGGCCAGAGCTGTGCTGATCCAAAGCCAAGAGCTTCTTCCAGGTCTCCCACGCGGGTGCAGGGTCCCAAAGCTTTGGGTCATCCTCAACTGCTTTCCCAGGCCACAAGCAGGAAGCTGGACGGGAAGAGGGGCCGTCAGGATTAGAACTGGCACCCATATGGGATCCCAGTGCATGCAGGGTGAGGACTTTAACTGCTAGGCCACCGCGCTGGGCCTGTGTGGTTTATTTTTTAAATATGTGTTTACTAGAGTAGCAGAAGGCAAGGGCGAAACAGAAAGAGAACTATTACTGGCTCATCCCACAAATAACTGCCATGGCTGGGGCCAGGCCAAACCAAGGCCAGGAGTCTGGAACTCCTCCTGGGTCTCACATGTGGGTGGCAGGGATTCAAGCACTTGGGCCATCTTCTGCTGCCTGCCCGGGTACAGAAGAAGGAAGCTAGTGACTGGAGCTGAGTCAATCCAAAGCCAGGAGCCAGGAACTTCTACCAGGTCTCACATGCAGGTGCAGCCTCCCAAAGCTTTGGGTCCTCCTCCACTATTTTCCCAGGTCACAAGCAGGGAGCTGGATGGGAAGTGGAGCAGCCAGGACATGAACTAGTGCCCATATGGGATGCTGGTGCTTGTAGGGGAAGGATTAGCCTGTTGAGCCACCATGCTAGCCTCATTATTATTTTTTATTTCCATTTTAATTATTTTAAAGATATGGAGAAGATTCTTTGAGATTTATTTATTTTTATTGGAAAGTCAGATTTATAGAGAGAAGCAGAGAGAAAGATCGTGCATCTACTGGCTCACTCCCCAAGTGGCTACAACAGCCAGAGCAGAGCTGAGCTGCTCCGAAGCCAGGAGCCAGGAGCTTCTTCCAGGTCTCCCATGCGGGTGCAGGGTCCCAAGGCTTTGGTCCATCCTTGACTGCCTTCCCAGGTCACAAGCAGGGAGCTGGATGAGAAATAGAGCAGCCCAGATACAAACCGGCACCCTTATGGTATCCCAGTTCATGCAAGGCAAGGACTTTAGCTACTAGGCTACTTCATTTGGCCCTAAATTTCCATGTTAAAACAGGACCTTGGGCTCCTCCCAACACTGTTTGAAATGGGATGGGTTTTCTGGGTGACTCAAGTCCATTTCCCTAACTGCCTCTGACACTTCTCTCACCCACAGGAAGCCTACTGTGCCTATGTCATCATCCTCATGGCACTCTACTGGTGCTTCGAGGCTTTGCCCCTGGCCGTCACTGCCTTGCTGCCCCTCGTCCTCTTCCCCATGATGGGCATCATGGAATCCTCTGAGGTGAGCTCGCATGGTTGGGAGGGCAACCTGCCCTGTCACCTGCAGACCAGGAAGCCTCATCCTGGGCAGGGCACACAGAAGTGAGGCCCCTGCCTCAAGGGGTGGACAGCACGGAGGGAGGGGTCCAGACCAGGGGGTCAAGGGTATAGGTGGGGCTGAAAGTTAACTCAGTGGAAATGAGCAGTCTTTAGGCCAAGGAGGTGGAAGCTCCATGGACCCAAAACCTGCATGCTTCAAGCCTTTGGTGGCTCCTGAACATAAAGGCACAGCAGAATTGCCAGGAGGGCTGGGTGAAGCCCAGATGGCTGGAGTCTCTGCTTTCATAGACCTGGGGCACAGCTCAAACACTGCATTTCCAGTGTGTTCCAGGTGGTGGCCAAAATGTCAGCCCATGGACCACAGTCTCTAGGACGGTCGCTGAGTTCTTTCCCAGCCCCGTAGCCAGCAGCATGAATAGAGCCAGCTAGAGTATTTCTCAGTCATTCTCAAAGGGAACCCAGATCACATCCAAGAATGGATGATCCCAGGGCCATTTCCCTCCTGGGGTGCAGAGCCCAGGGAGATGCCAGCACGTGGAGTGTCGGGGCATTGGCATGCAGTGGGAGGCCTCAGGGTCACGTCATCTCACCCCTGCTTCCAGGTTGGCTATGAGTACCTTAAGGACAGCAATGTCCTGTTCATCGGAAGCCTGCTGGTGGCCATCGCTGTGGAGCACTGGAACCTGCACAAACGCATTGCCCTGCGAGTACTCCTCTTAACTGGGGTGCGACCTGCCCTGTAAGTTCCCACAAACCAAGAAGGAGAGAGGCAGGGTTGGGGTGGCACGAGGGATGTTGGAACAGCAGGATGTGTGTCTGTCCATTCCCAGGCTGATCCTGGGCTTCATGGTGGTCACAGCCTTCCTGTCCATGTGGATCAGCAACACGGCCACCACGGCCATGATGATACCCATCATGCATGCTGTCCTGCAGCAGCTGCACAGCCACAACAGTGATGTGGAGGAGGGCAACGACAATCCCACCTTCGAGCTCCAGGAACCGAGGCCCCAGAAGGAGACCAAGCTGGATGAGAAAGGTGAGGCCGTTCCTTGCCTCCATCTCTTGCTTCTTGGGGGAGGCTCTGAGAAACCATCAGTCCCCAGAGGTGAGGTCAGCCTAGTGCTTAGAGAAGCAGGAGGTGCAGGGATCAATTTGGCATGGTTTGCTTGGATCAGCTGGTTTTCTGATGCTAAGACCTGAGCAGGTGTTCAGATTAACTCTTAGGACACCTGCATCCAATGTCAGGTGCCTGGATGTGATACCCAGCTTTAACTCCAGGTTCCAGCTTTGCGCTAATGCATACCTTATGTGGGAGCACTAGCCATCAAGTATTTGAATCCCTGCCACCCATATGCTAGACCTGGGTGGAGCTCCCGGCTCCCAGCTTCAGCCCTGGCCCAGCCCCAGGCTGTTGTGGACACTTGGGGAGCGGACCTACAGGTGGCACATTTCTGTTTCTGCTTCTTTGCCTCCCTCTGTCTCTCAAATAAATACATACAATGCCAATTCTTATGTAAAGGATCCGCTGAGCCGTGGAAAAGCCAAGGTGCTGGATTATCCTTGTAGAGGAGAGCCAGATCTGGGATTGGCTGTCAGTGGTTTTCTTCTGTGGTCTGAACAATTCTTATCCTTCCTCAGTGTCTCTCCCTCAAGAGATAGGTGGGACCAGATGGTGCCCGGGGATAGGCCCCGGGCAGTCCCTGAGGAATACCAGGCCCGCTGAGGCCTGAAGACAGCCTCTGCCCATGCCAAGCTCAGGGAGTCTGGGCTGTTGATTGTGCATATGGCTACCCCAGGCCATGACACTGCAACCCTTTTCCTTTCCTCTTGTTCCCAGATGATGGGCAGATCCAGCCCCTCCCACCTGTTGGCTCAGAGTCACAGGATCACAGGACCCAGGAGCAGATCCACTTCACTCAGGGCATGAGCCTGTGTGTGTGCTTCTCAGCCAGCATTGGGGGCATCGCCACACTGACTGGCACCTCGCCCAACCTGGTGCTGCAAGGCCAGATGAGCTCGTGAGTGACGGAAGCAGCCTATGTGCAACCCCTAGGGAGGCAGTGGGCCAGATGGTCACCAGGCCCCAACACAGCAGCCCTTTGTCCCCTTCAGGCTCTTCCCCCAAAACCCCAGTGTGGTAAACTTCGCTTCCTGGTTCGCCTTTGCCTTCCCCATCATGATCATCTTGCTGGTGCTGGCGTGGCTGTGGCTGCAGATCCTCTTCCTGGGTATCAAGTGAGTGAGAGAAGCCCTGGTTCCTACCTGCACCCCTGGACTGAGACGTGGAAAATGCCTACATCCATGAGAAGGCCTCTTCCTCCCAAGGCCACCCCTGCACACCTGGCCTCCCATCGAAGGGGAATTACTGGGTGGAGAGTTTTAATCCACTTAGCAGACAGGCAAACTGAGGCCCAAGCTGTCTAGCTAGACTTCTCAGTGCTGAGATTCAGAAAAATAGCTGCGGTGCCCCGGCCAGACCGCTGTCTCTGAAGGATGCCCCAAACCCTTGGGGAGGTCCTTGCAGAGCATAAACAGAGTGTAGTTAATTACAGAAGCATCTGACGTGCTCCTACTGTGTGCCTGGTCCTGTGCAGACTGCAATACTAGAAGAACACGGGGAGGTGTTGGGTTCCATCCCTGTCTTCAAGGTGACGACGTGGTGAGGACCACCAGGGAGCCAAGTCCAGGACTGTAAGAGTCCAGAAGACAGAGTGCCTGGTTTAGACCAGAAGGCACCCAGAGGTGCTGGTACCTGAGATGACTGCTGCAGGACTAGAGGATGGAGGTGTAGGCATTCCAGACAGCAGGAAAACCTTGTGTGACGCACAGAGGCAAGAAAGAACATGGTGTGTTTGGGGGAACTCCAGTTCTGTGAGTCTGAAACACAAGGAGCAAGAAAGAGTTATCAGGCCATGAAGCTCAAGAAGTAGATGGAGAGGATTACACAGGATCTTGTGAACCACATAACAAGTATAGATCTCCTTAAAGCCAAGAATAGAATATATATTTCATTCCTATTTCCCTGGGTCACTGGTAGTCCCTGTTTGAAGTTCTGAACTGAAAACCAGTAGGGACTCTGCTAAAGCTTCATTTAAGCTGGCTCTGGGGTTGATTAACGATGTCTGCCATGAGTATGGGACGGCGGTGGTGGTATGAACATTACTGTGGTACAGTTTTCTATCTGTTCTTCCTTCCCAGACAATGGGACGCTGTCAACAGATTCTAAACATTGTTGCTGTACTCTGGACAGATCACTTGAACAGACACACTGAGGTCAGACTAAGGTTAGGGGCTACTAGAAGACAAGATGCTAGTGGGAGATATCAGCATGGTGCCGGGCACCACCCAGGTGTCCCCACTGCCTGGAGCAAGGTCACTGCCGGGGAGCAAATCACCATCTGACAGGGAAGTTGAGATTCACCCAAGTGAAAAAATTGAAGGTCAACACAAGTTAAGCCAGCAGCACAAGGAAGCAGATCACAGCCTCCTGTGCCTGTGGGGACAACAGGGTTTGGGGTGGGGCAGTGGCTGGTGCAGGATACACCAAAGCAGGAGCATGGGGGAAGGAAGGATTTCCTGAAAAGCTGTTGGAGGAAGGGAGCTGTGAGTCAGGGCCAACAGGTGGCATGGGACCAGCTGCCAGGTCCTCTATATCCTGTGCTAAGGAACCCCTAAGAGAAGGGAAACGGTCCATGAGACAGATAGCAGGGCAGTTCCAAGCATGGAGAAACCTAACTCCCCAGCTAACCAGGATTTGCCAAGAGCTTTCTGCTCTTCTCTAGAACCCTGGGCAGAGCTAGGCCCCTGGTGCAGTGATGGTGGAAGTCCTCGCTCCCCCGTGGGCAGAAGGCCATCACAAGCCGCCCCCTTACCCCTCTAACTGTAGCTTCCGGAAAAATTTTGGCATCGGGGAGCAGGAGGAGCAGCGCAAGCAAGCAGCCTTTCATGTCATCAAGACAGAGTACAAGCTGCTGGGTCCCATGAGCTTCGCGGAAAAGACTGTCTGTGCCTTCTTCCTTGCGCTGGTGGTGCTATGGTTCACCCGGGAGCCAGGCTTTTTCCGTGGCTGGGGCGACGTGGCTTTCTCTGATGCCAACGGGACTGTGTAAGATTTGCTGCCCCACCCCTGGACCATGGGACACACCTGAGAGGGAGGGCGTTCCCCAGGGCTGTGGGGGAGGCGCACAGGATGTCTGTGGTAAGAACTTCATCCCACCACAGCCTGTGGTCCTGCGCCCCTGAGCCGCTAAGCCTGCCCTCCCTGCCTGCCCCCCAGCACTGTGTCGGACGGATCAGTGGCCATCTTAATTGGCATACTTCTGTTCATGGTGCCCTCCAAGATCCCAGGGCTGACCCAGGATCCCGGTGAGCACCTGAGCTGGGGCAAGGGGATGGTCCCCGGGGAAGCCCCTGGGTTCAGGTGTGCAATGGACCTTTAGCACAGCTGGCAGGAATAGACAAGGATGAAGTCAAGGGCACAGGGACTTGGGAACTGAGTTGGTTGTGGTAGGACTGAAGATTCTTCCTCCTACATGAGGAGAAGATTCAGCAGAGACCCATAGTGGGTGTGAATTGGGGAGGGAAGTAGGGAGAAGTCCTGTTCACCCTATGTGGCCTGGGTGGCTGACACTGTTCTTCTGGGGGCAGAAAACCCAGGGAGGCTGGTGGCTCCAACTGCCCTCCTCACCTGGAAGATGGTGAACCAGAAGATGCCCTGGAACATTGTACTTTTGCTGGGTGGCGGCTTCGCTCTGGCCAAGGGCAGTGAGGTGAGAGCCCCCCCTGCAGCACCCTGCCCAACTTTCACCCTGTGGAAAGGAGACTTGATCCCCACCTGGAAGTCCCATATCAGCAGGAGAGATTTGGGTCAGAGGGAAGAAGAATATGCACAAGGCTTTGGGAAATTTCTCCCATCCATTTCTAAAGCCACGGGGAAGGTGTGCTTCTCAGTGGGAAAGACCTGTCCTGAATTCTCTACCAGTTCCAGTTCCGCAGCGCCGCCTGGTAGGTGTAAGGTTCATGCTTGTGATAACCACCAGGGGGAGCCATGACCACACTCAGCCAGGCTCCTGGGACCAGAGTGTGCATCCCAAAGGAAAATCCCGAGTTCTGGTTGAGCTTAATCCTTGCTCAGACAAGAGGCAGCTGCTCTGGCTGGAAAATGCTGCAGGGGACTGGGGACTGGAGTTGGTGCAGCCTTTGACTGTGGCCACAGCTGAGCTGGGCGCCGGTGAGTGAGTTGCCAGTGCAGGGGAAGGAGGGTGCTTGCAAGCCATCCACAGGGTAAGACCTCCGAGCTCTTGCGACCCTGTGCAGCACCCCCCACACCTGATGTCCACCTCTTCCCAGACTCTATCAGGACCTGCCAGGAGCAAGGTCCTCTCTGTCTCAGCTCACTGCTGGAGCAGGGCCAAGGTCATCCGCCGATGGTCCTGAGAGACTGGGAGGGCAGAGTTCTCCTGCTCCCAAGCCCCAGGCTTCCTGAGACAGCCCAGAGTTGCTTCTCGATTTCTCCTCTGACCCCTTCGCCCCACTCAAGAGCATGAAAGGACCTAGGTGTATCCTTACTTTCCCTCAGAGCTGACACTGACCCTGGAGACCAGGGAGGTGTGGGCAGGAGCAGGACTCTCCCCAAACCTGGGCAGAGGACTCTGGGCAGCCCTGCTGCCTCTCCTATATCACCCCCTCTGCCCACAGGAATCGGGCCTGTCAGCGTGGCTGGGGGACAAACTGACACCACTACAGAATGTGCCAGCTCCCGCCATTGCCTTTATCATCAGCCTCCTGGTTGCCGTCTTCACTGAGTGCACCAGCAACGTGGCCACCACCACACTCTTCCTGCCCATCCTGGCCTCCATGGTGAGCAGCTCTGCAGAAATAAGCTCCTCCCCACGGTGTTCCTGCCACCCCTTCACAGGTGCTACCTGTCTGCCCCTCCTCTCCTTTCCTGGAGATGACCCCTCAGCATCCACCCTTCCCCAAGCTCTTGAGTTAGGTACTTCAGCCCCTGACTCAGCCCATCCCTGGTGACGTCATTCCTGGAGCATCCTGATGGAGCTTGCTGGCGGCCTCACCCACCTCCCCACCCCAGCCCCCATTCCGGCCATGCCAGAGGAGCCAGCATGAAATTGCTCGTCGGAGCGTCCCCAGCCCCTTCCTCCCCAGGCGCGTTCCCGCAGCCTTTGATGACACCCCCAGAGCCCCTTTGAGATCCGTTTTATGGGCCCCTCCTCTTGCCACGCCCCGCAGGGCAGGGTGCACACTCATCCCCTCCAGAGAGGTCAAGGGGCCTGCCCCAGGTCACAGGCAGCAGTGGTGGGTTCACAAGCCAGAGAGGGGGAAGGGCATGGTGAGGAGCAGAGGAACTGGGTGGGGGGCACTGGGGTGCTGTGGCTCCCGCTCTGGGATGGACACCCAGCTCAGCTGCGGTCCTTGGTATCCCTGCAGGCTCAGGCCATCTGCTTGCACCCACTCTACGTCATGCTGCCCTGCACCCTGGCCTCCTCCCTGGCATTCATGCTGCCCGTAGCCACCCCACCCAATGCCATTGTCTTCTCCTATGGGGGCCTCAAAGTCTATGACATGGTAAGTGTCAGGGAGGCCCAAGTGCCTCAACCTCCTCCCTGCTCCATCTGTCCATCCTGGTGGCCCTCAAAGTAGCTCAAAGCCCCCTAGTTCTCAGCTTGGCGGCAGGCAGGGGCAGGTCCAGCAGGAGGTCAGGACATGAGTGAGTCCTTGGGTAGAGGGCCCCCAGGCCCTGTCTGCCCAGGCCCTGTGAGCTGGGGCTATGTGGAGGCCCAGACACAAGGCTGGCATCCTCCAAACCCAGGAGCAGTTTCCCTTGTTGCCATTAGCCCTGGGAGTGGAACAAGGACTGGATGATGGCAGAATTTCCTCAGGCAGTTATGGGAGGGGGGGAGAGTAGAGTTTGGTTTGGGGAGCAGGGGGAATGTTCTGACACCTGAGGGATGGATGCCACCACCCCTACCCCTAGTTCCTGCTCCCTCAAGCTGGCTCTCATCCTCATCCCCACCCCCAGGCGCGGGCAGGAATCGTGCTCAACATCCTCGGGGTACTGGTCATCGCGCTGGCCATCAACAGCTGGAGCATCCCAATGTTCAATCTGCACACCTTCCCGTCCTGGGCGCACACCAACAGCACTCACCATTGTCTGTCCACCTCCACCCCCACCCCACCTAGCCCGTAGCCCCTAAGGGTGCCAACTGGCCAGGCCCCCGGTCACCAACCCCTGTTCACAGTCCTCTCAGCTGGGAGGCGCACACCACGCTCCAAGCTTGGGGCTGCATGTGTGTAGTCTCAGGCGTGTGAGCTTGAGGCAGGCACCTGCGCTCAGCCTCGTTCCTATGTGCTGGAGGAAAACGTGTGCTTCCGTGTGTGTGTGTGTGTGTGTGTGTGTGTGTGTGTGTGTGTGTGAGGTAGGTGTGCAATGTGAGCATGGCTTTGTGTGTGTGTGATCCCAGCATGCGGACAGCTGGTAGCATGCATGTGTGTATTCATAAACAGCACTGCACGCCCTCCCTGGCCCCCCTGCTCGATGCCCACACTCCTCAGCACTGTATTTATTGAAGCTCAGATTGGAGGGGCCCCGGGAGCAGGGCCTGAGGCGGTTGCCATGGAAACAACTTCTGGGCCTGGGACAGCCTCCTGAGGTCTCTATGGCCTCTGGGGGCTGAAGGAAGGGTTATGCAACCAGCCCCCATTAAAGTCTTTCTCAGTAAACCCCGGGATAGTTTTGGATGGTGCGGTGCGTCTGTTCTCTGGGGCTGGCCCTGGGTTGGAGAGTGCAGTGGGAAGGGGCCTGGCCTCTCTCCAGTGGGGCACACCCCCTTGGCATCCTTCCTGTGCAGAGGGAGAAGGTAATGGTCGGGCGCCCCTGCCAAGGCCGATCAGAGTGGGCGCAGCCACCCAGGAAAGCAGCGCTGACATCACTGGGCCCAGCTAATTGGGAGCGGCCAGTCCCTGCGTGTCTCTGGGAGAACCGGCCTCTGGTTCCCAGAGCACTCCCTGTGCATTTGCATAAAACCTTCGGCCCCTGCCAATTCCTCCCCACAGACCCTTCCTCCTGCTGGAAAAACCGGTCCCTCCAGCACAGGGGAGCCTGGCTGACCAGAGCCCAGCACCCAGAAACATGGACCCTTACCCACAGGCGAGACACATGGGTGCAGACCCCGGACTGGGAGATTCGGGGTGCTCCTGCCTCTCAGTCCCAGCCTCATCCCCCCTCAGTCTTAGTGAGGTGAGGGTAAGGGAGGATGTCCCTTCACTCCTCACCCATTCTGGGCTTTTCTGGGTTGGAAGTCCCCACTTGTGTCTATCCTGAGTCTCCCACACAGTGGATGGCCTCTGGGGGCCTGGCGCTCATTCAGAGGAACACGCCCTGGAGTCCGCCTCAGTGTCCTGCCCTGACAGTGGGGCCAGAGAGGAGACATTGACCCTCACTCACATCCAAAGGAAAGACGGGCTGAGCTCTAGAGCAGAGCCAGAAAACCAAGAAGGGCTACCTTCTGGATACCCCCGGGCCACTCAGTTCCCCCCTGGAGCTGAGGGTTCCAGGGAAGGGAAGGTGGAAGGGGGCTCTGGCATGGGAGTGAGAAGAGCCTGGCTGTTCCCAGGGGACAGGAGAACTTGACGGGACATGCCAGACAGCCAGGAGAGTGAGGGGTGTCGGGTGAGTGGCTCTATTCCCCGCCACAGGCTGGCATTCCTCACATGTGATACACAGTCATAAATCATAACTCCTACCTGAACCCACACTTGGACCCCAGGCAACAGTCCCAACCTCCAAATGGGAGTGGGCTGGCTCTAGATTGAGGGGCTCCCTCAATGCACAGGGCTCCACCGCAAGGGAGCCCCTCTGCTCCTTTCTTCCAGTTCCCCTTGGGTCCCTGCAGACCACACAGGCTTGGGAAAAGGTGGGGTGTGCTTCTCAGGCTGCGCGCCCCTTCCACACTGCTGTTCTCAGTCCCACTTCCCCCTGCTGTTCTGGGCCAGGCGTGAATTGATGTCACACAGCAGTACCAGGGGATGGGGTCAGAGCTGGCCCTGCCCTCTGCATGGGTGACGGTGGGCTTTCCTGTAGAACTACGGGGAGTGGGGACAAACCTCTCCCAGATGCCCAGAAGCCACCATCCTCAGCAGCAGGGGGGTGGACAGGCACCTGTTGGCCTAATCATCATCATTAGCTAGGCAATAAAGCAGCACGGCCTGGGCCAGCCTTTGAAGGACGGGCCATCAGCTGGGGCAGGCTTACACAGGCCGCCGGGCTGCTCAGCCACTGCTGTACACACGCTCTGGGCTGTGGCAGGTGGCCGGGACCCTGCAGGGACAGCGGTACAGGTCATCCCTGTCTGCATGTCACCGAAGCCCTCATGAAGGCAGCCAGGAGCTCTGGGAGTCCTCTGCCATCCAGACTTGCACTGAACTGGGACCGGGAAACTTTTCAGCAGGGGCTCCCCTCACTGCCGGAGGACAGCCTGCAGGATGGGGCTGAGCTCCCAGTTCCTTCCCGTGTGGACGGAAGAACACTGCAGAAGCTTCCTGCTCCCAGAGGGAAGCTGGACACGCTGCCCTCCCTGCCCCCTCTAGGCTGCTGTGTGGGAAATGCTACATAACCTGGAGACAGCTTCTGGGCCTCTCTGGGCCAAGGTCACCTCACACTGAGTCAGCTTCTCCACTCCTGTCCTTCCTTGTGTCCCGGGCACCAGCCCTGGAGGCAGCTGTGCCCACCACAGCGTTCGAGTCTGAGTCGGCAAAGTGGAGCAGGGGGCTTGTTAGGGAGACAGAGGAGGTGGGCGCAGGAGTGTCAGTCTCACCCTGGTTCATCTTGAACAGAGCCACAGGCCAGGGCAGCTCTGGGAGAGAGAGTTCTTGGGGGAGGGGGTGCAATGCAGCTGGGAGGAGGGGGTACAGAGTCAGGTGGGTTTGCACGTGACGGGTAAAGTTGGGGCAGGTGGGGTGACAGCCTGGAAGGGTGCCCTCTCTGCAGCCTCAACCCAGTCTGGGCCCCATTATTCCTGTTGGCAGAGCTATGAGGTTTTACTAGGGGCAGGAAGACAGAAGGCCCTCAACAGGGCAAGGTCCTAACCTCGGGGCGGAAGGAAGTGTGGGGGGGTGGGGAGAGGAAGGAAATCTGACAGGGACCCAGAAGAAGCGTTTTTAAGCGTGGGGAATGGTGCAATTAAAATGCAACTTGGGATGCTTGTATCAGACACCTGGGTTCAAGCCACAATATCACTTTCAATCCCAGCTTCCTGCTCCTGTGAGGCAGTAGGCGTAGCTCAGGTGTCACCCATATGGGAGACCTGGATTGAGTTCCAGGCTCCTTGCTTCGGCCTGGCTCAGCCTCAGCTGCGGAAGCATTTGGGAAGTAAACCAATAGATGGCAGATCTCGCCCTTACAAAAAGGAGGGCCCAGCGCAATGGCGTAGTGGTTAAGGTCCTCGCCTTGCACGCCTGGAATCCCATATGGGCGCCGGTTCTAATCCCGGCAGCCCCGCTTCCCATCCAGCTCCCTGCCTGTGGCCCGGGAAAGCAGTCGAGGAAAGACGTGGGACCCTGCACCCGCGCAGGAAGAGGCTCCGGCTCCGGCTTCGGATTGGCTCAGCTCCAGCCATGGCGGCCACTTGGGGAGTGAATCATCGGACGGAATCCTCTCTGTATATCTGCCTTTCCAATAAAAATAAAATAAATCTTTTAAAAAATTATACTTTAAAAAAAGAAAAAGGAATGAAGAGACCCATGGCCATATGTCCCCAGAGCCGTAGAAACCACAGACACACCCAGCAACATGGACGCCTGTGTGCACACAGCCCTCGGCACTCACACACTCACAACCACAGTCACAGACGTGTGTGCGCGCACGGTCATGCAGACCTGAGCGTTCTCACAGGCGTGTGGAAGGATGCTCACACCTCCACGGACACTGACTCCATTGTGGATGCTCACGGCTGCGAGCTATAGCTCCACCGGCTGCATGCAGAGCCATGGCGCTGGGGCCACAAGAGCAGTTGCACAAGCACTCATATGCTCACACCAGGGTGTACACACTCAGGCACCCCAGCACTGGCTCACCCCAGCCCCGCACAGCCCCAGCCACGAAGAGGAGAGAAGCCCTCCCCCCACTCCCCTGCAGGACTCTCATTCTGTTCCTCCCTACCACACTTACACACACACACAAACTCCCAGCTTGGAAACTCCCTGGATTTCCCAGAAGGTCAACCAACCAGAACAGGCTCAGCTGTCCTGCCGCAGCCCTGGCCGGGGTGCTTCTCGGTCAACCACAGCCAAGGAGTTGCTGCCCTCCCTCAGGAAGACCACCCTGATGAGCTCTCCAACCCTCCTTCAATGTGGGGTCCTTGGACCTCGGAGCCTGTGGAAGCTATGTTGGCACTTTGCTCCTTTGCAGGCAGTCTTAAAGGTTTCCCATGTCCAGGGTTGGGAAAGCGGCAGGACCCATCTGAGAACTCACTTTGGGAAGACAGGTACCTCCTATGTGAGCAGGAGACAAAAAGTAGTGGATGGGAGGGAAGAGAGAGGGGCGCCCTCTCCTCCATCACATTGGGGGTTCTGAGGGTCAGCACATGCTAGCCTTTCTCCTCTGGGACCCCAGAGTCTTGAGTTGGGATGGCCCCAAGCCAGCCCTGGACAGAGTCGTTCTGATCTCCAGTCCTCAGAGATACAGACCTTTCCCCAGCCCCAGCCCAGTCAAGTCCCCAGCTATAGCCCATCTAGGCTAGAGCCTAGCCCAGCTCCCTCTGCGGGCTTGAAATGAAGGCACTGGAGAGTGTGCGACCCAACCGCCGGGCTGGAGTCCTTTCCAAGGGAACAGGACCAGCACTGAAGCAGAGTTTAGACCCCAGGACAGACTTCCTTGCCTAGGAGAGAACTGTGAGGGGCTGGTGTGAGGGGACAAAAGGGGTTCAAGGTCCTGCTCGGAGGAAGAGAAAGACCTCGAGGATTTCACAAGGCACCCACTTCCGCTCCCAGACCGTGTACCACGCGGAAGCCCTGCTTCCCAGAGGAAAGCGGAAGCTGGGGCCACGCCCACTCCTGGGGCAGAGGTGGAGCCCTGTTGGAGGAGGAATAAGTTCATTGCACCCATCTGCACCAGAGCCTCGCTGGGGAAGGTGCCAACCCTGCACCTCCTCAGGACCACCCTGGCACCTAAATTAATCTGCATTCCCCTGG